GGGAGGCTGAGGCGGGCAGATCACTTGAGGTCTGGAGTCTGAGACCAGCCTGGCCAACACGGTGAAAACCCATCTCTATTAAAAATACAAAAATTAGCCAAGTGTGGTGGTGCACATCCGTAATCCCAGCTATTCAGGAGGCTGAGGCAGGAGAATTGCTTGAACCTGGGAGGCAGAGGTTGTAGTCAGCTGAGATTGTGCCACTGCACTCCAGCCTGCCTGACAGAGAGAGACTCTGTCTCAAAAATAAATAAATAAATAAATAAATAAATAAATAAATAAATAGAAATAAAAAATAAAAATAAATTTAAATATATAGACCTAAGTGAAGTATTTCCATCACAGTACAAGGGTATCTACTGAAACTTGAAAATACAGAATGATCCTGGAAAGTGATAAAGTGGTCACATTTTTTTCATTAAGGATCCTGGAATTTAGTTGGCAAAGTCATTGAAACACTCCTGACCTTTCTCTTCTCCATTTTTATCACTGCTACTCTTTCTGCCACCTCATTTCAATACTATAAGCCGTATCTACTCAGATAATCAAAATAGTTCAGGAAACCAAGAAGCTTTTAAATTTTTCTCTCCAAGTGAACGGATATTCCCCAGGGGTTAGATTTTATAATCCAAAATGGAGGGGGAGATCCAGCAAGTTTGTCTTAATGAAATGTAGGCAGCATGAAAATTCATGGCATTCCATCACTCTAAAACTTGAAATCATCCACCAAAGCTACAATAATTAGAAAACATTATATTGACTTTTAAAAATTCCACTTTTGATTTTTTTCTGCCAATATCAAGAATTCTCCTTGGAAATAAACTGATTACTAAGCTGAAACCAAATAACTGATTATTAAGACAGAACTAAGCACTATGATTTATATGTCCAGAAAGAATTGCATTTTGTGTTGACAAATTGCAAAGGCACAGATGTACGTCAGGTGACATCTGGACTGGCAGGTGGGAGTCAACATTTTGAACTTATTTTCTTTCCCTTTACCCACTCTTGTCTATTTTTCTTCTCTAGCTTCATTAAACTTCACCAGCTTCAGAAGGTCTGGGAAGGCAGCGCATATATGATGTTCTGAAAGCACACCATCCTATGTAAACAATTGTTTTTGGCAATTCAGAGACTTCAGGGTGGTATTGCATCTTTGTTTTACCCCCAAAATAAAATGTTTAGGCCAAAGTTAGAACAGCACGTGCATTTACTTTCATAACTTGGCATATTCAAACATTACAATGGTACATTTTAAAAAAAAGAATTTGATCTTTTTTGCTCTTTCTTTCTTTCTTGGGCCTACACCTTGTCCTAGTTCCATTGTTTTCTCTTTCACAGTACATTTTCATATCTTGGTGTATCTCTTCAGCATCTGTTTCTCCTCAATCATAATTTTCATTCAAGAATAATAACTCTTTGGTCTCTTTGGATATGTTTTGTTCTGAACTCACCTATGAACTTCACCAGGGTACATTGAAGGTTAACAACTCCATTTCTGGAATTCTCTTGGATCCTTTTTGAGGAAAAATGCCAAAGAATATAAACAGGGCTCAAATGTATCTGGGCTCTGCCAAGTCCTTTGAGGACAGCTCCACAGAACTGTACCTTCTGTCAGCTCCCTTCCGTTCTCACTGTGCCCAGCTTCCCCACCATTCCACATAGGAACTTGTATCTTTTGCTCATGCGGGAAAGGAAACTTTGGATTAATAGAAGTTCCAGCATATTCGTTTATCTAACAACACTCTACCTTGCCCATTAACAGGTAGAAAATTGCTTCTCACTTGACTGAGCCTTCTACCCTCTTCTCTTTTCCATCCCACAGGGTGCTGAATGTTTCCAGTGCTCATTTAAAAATGCTCCCATCAGAGTTACACGAAGAACTTTTCCCACAATTGTTGAAATTGTAGAAAATTTAGGTGAATGGCATAAGTACTACTAGAAGTAGTTGGCTGGTTAAGCCAAAACCAAATAACTGATTATTAAGACACCTTCTGGCAGTGCTTTGCCTAAGGGGCACTGGGTCACAGGGTCACTCCATGAACATGCTATCTTTCCTATAACCTATGTCAGGCTATTTGCTTCAGCTGTGACTCCTTCTGTTGCAGTAGGCAGTAAACCCAATCCAAAGTGGCTTAAGCAAAAAGAGACTTCATTGGCTTGTATAATTGAGAAGCTCAGAGGTGGGGCTGTCATCTTGTGCTGCTAAATGTGGAGCTCAAAGGCTGCTATATGGCCATCGTTTCTCTCTATACATCTGTTGGCTTTTGTTTCATGAATGTCTTCTCTCCAGGAGTGCTGGCTCATTCATAGGTGGGCTGTCCCCATCAAACTCATGAGATGGCTGCAGAGGCTCCAGAACTTGTATGTTCTCAGCTTTATTTGCACAGGGGTCACTGAAGTCAGATATTTGACAGTAGAAAGATCAGCCTCATGAAAATGGACTTGCTGTGTATTGAGAAAAAGAAGCAGTCCTGGAGATCTGATATATTCTTTACCTGGAAACCCCTGCAAAATCCTCATTGTTCTCTGTTGCCATTGCTGATGCTTGGTAACAAAACCTTGCTTCATATCAAGTAGTTTTCATCCTCCCTCCACCAATTGCTTCGAGGGAGGCTAGACTCAGCCCCAACTCCTACTGAGTTCTAGTTCACCTTAGACTCTCATGGTAGCCTCTTTCCTCTTGACTGTGACTGATTAGGCAAGAACGTGTGACACAATTCTGGCCAAGGAGATGTGAGAGGAAGCCAGCTGAAGGCTTTTGAGAAGTGTCTCCTCGCTCTTGAGAAGGAATACATAGGAAAAGATGGCCTTTTCTTCTAGTTGTTGTTGTCTAGACATGATGTCAGCAGCTACTAGTAGCCATAGGAGAACTAGCCCAAAGATCAAGGACTAAGCTGATGTGCTGGGAATGGCATGGCAGAAAGAAGGAAGGAACAAAGGACTTTGATTACACTAAGGAGCTGCTGTATTAACCAACTCTGGAGCCTTTGGACTTCTTGTGATGTGAGACAATAAATTATTCTTATTAATTAAATTATGTTATGTTGAGTTTTCTAGTTTAAAGGGAATTTGATCTTTTGCTATTTCATCTCTTGGCCTACACTTTTTGTTTTGGCCTGTACTCTGTAACTGTTGTTTTCTCTTTTGCAGTGCATTCAGCTGAAAGCATCTTAAAAGATACTGTCTCATCGGCTCTAGCTGGGTCACGTACCCATTCACTGTGGGGATGTGATGTGTGATGGGACTTAGGCTAGATGATCCAGTAACCTTCTGCAGTGAGATGGGCTCATCCCATCTGCCTTCACGGGCAGAGTGTGGAGGAAAAGGAACATCTACTGAGAAATGAGGGTATGATTTCTATAAAACAGTGAAATATATGCTGTGAAACAAACATATCAGATGTCTAATACTTTGTCCTTTTGAATGTGTCTTACAGAATGGCCTCAAATTGTGAGTACAGTGGGTAAGAAGTAGGCCATCTCTTACTTCGTCTGGTAGCTCAGTAAACATAACTATGGAGGTGTTTTAGACCAAAGGTAGATCTGCTATGCCATTGACTCATCTAAATAGACTATGAAAACTTTTCCTGAGTTAAGCTCTCATATCTCTAGCTTTGGAACACAAGCCATTTTGGGGTCATAGCAAAAGACAGTGCGACCCATAGCCAAGAGAGACAAAACTGAGTGTTTTACTCAGTTGCCAGATGATCCAGGGTTTCCTAAGAGTACTAGAAAAAGCAGGCAGCGATTTAAGCGGCATGTGCCATCCCTCAGGCCCCAAGGTTTTCTGGCACCCTTTTGTCATACCCCCTGAGGTTCAGTTGGTCTCATGGCTCTGACTCAGCGTGGTATGCAGAAGAGTGGGGCCTCAGGTCAGCCTGTGTCTAGTGATTTCAATTCTGCTGTTGGCTGCAATTCCATCTGTCAAGAAAGTTTTGCAGTCAGCCATTTGATAGTGGAAGGGTTAGCCCATGAAACTGAATTTCCTGTGTATCTGGAAAGAGAGGCAGCCCTGGAGATCTGACATGCTCTGTGAAAATTAGGGGTTCCTTTTTGCTATTGCTGGTTAGTCTCTGCTAAACCTAATATATTTCAACATTTGAGGATTTTTTTAAAAAAGAAAAATTTTTCTATTTTTTATTATGAACTTAAGTAACTTCATGGCAAGAAAATCTAATCAACGTTAAACTATTTACTTCCCTCCAAAGTAATTTCCTCTCTGTCAATGCACAGACATGCATTTTTACTTAGTTATAATTAGTGTGAACATACTCGTTTTTGTTTAAGAAAGGTTTTCTTTATCTTGGCATTCAGATTTGTTTTCATAGGCGAAGAAAGCACTGGGAAGGAGAAGGAACCTTTGCTGGCAAGTTGGGAGGATTATATGGGGTCATACTATCTCAGAGTTAAAGAAACCTTAAAGGACCCCACATCCCTCTCCATATCTCTTCTGATGATCCTTTTGTACTCACAGACTAACCAGCATGGCCTTTTCACTCAAAGGCCTCTCCAGATCTCCACAGCACCAAGGGTGCTGTCTGGCTCCTAAAGGAGGAATGAAATTCCATCCTCAGGTCTGCCAGGGCCCACCTATCTGTCATGGGCATGCACCATGACCCAGGCTTTACTGGGCTGTTGGGCTGTCTAATGGTTTTCCTTGCAGAAAGCAAGCCGGAACAATGCTGCTCCGGACTGGTTTTCCATACCACTCCTCTCAAATATCTTCTGTTTTCTTAAGTGTGATCACACACCCATGGTTTCCAATCTATCAAAGCGTAACATTGCCAGTCGCTTTTTTCTAAGTTAAGGAAGTAGCCATGTTGGGTTTAATTAAAAACAGCAACTATTTGTACAGCTGTCCCTAAGTTCATGGCTCATAAAAGGATTAACTTCAACCTTGCTGCCTAAGTCTTTTGGGAGTGTCACAAAAAAACATTTAGGCTTTTCTGGGCAGTGCCAGGCCTGGGCCTTGAGGCTTGCTGATGCTAGTTCAGCCACCAGGCTCTCGGTGCTCAAGTGGCATCGAACAAAGCAGAGAAGAGCAGAACTTCTAGATACTCAACTCCTCCTTCTTTTGTTTGGCAGATGCAAGGCCTTGAAGGCTGCTTCAACAAGTTTCTGAAAATTCCCCTCGGGTTGGGAAAGGCACAGTCTTCCTTTTGCAAGTTTTTCTAGAGCTCTTCCTACTTTCGCCCCAGGGTGGGTCTGTTGCACCCCCACCTCCCAGACCTCAGTGGTCACTGGCAGGCGTCCTTCAAAGGAGGTGGGGGCGGGGTATCCCCGCCGATAGATGCGCCCGCACAAAGCAGCACGTTTTCTCATCAAAGCCCTGGAGAGAGGGAAGAACGAGCGCTCAGCATTTCGCTGATTTTCAAGTGCACACTGAGCAGCGCGTCAGGCAGTTTGGGTCAGAACGCGCCTGATTCCGACTTCGGGCGAAGGCAGAGGCCAGCACGGGTCACCGATTCAGAGCCGGGGGCGGGGCCGACCACACACGCTGTGAGACCCTGAGGCCGAGGAGCCGCGGGTTAGAAAATGTGACCCTGGCGACCCCAACGCCCCCGCCTCCCTCCCTGCTGCTCCACCTGCACGCGGAGCGCGCCGAGCCGCCGGCGGAGGCGATGGCCAGCCCCGCGCCCTTAGTGGCCTCCATCAGCCACCAAATGGTGGCTCTGCAGACCTTGCAGCTGCTGCAGCAGGAGTGGGGCTGGGGGGACGGTCCAGGCGCCCCCGGGAACCCGCGGGACCCGGAGCACATGTCCACCGCTCCAGCCCGTCGCTCAGGCCCGCCGCGGGCCCGGCCAGGGCCCTGGCGCGAGGAGCGGGGCGGGGGCGTGGGGACCAGGAATCGGGGGACCGCGGCCCGGACGAGCTCCCCAGAGCAGGAGGTAGTGCGGGGCGCTGAGGGGGGCGCCGAATTGCTGCCCTTCCCCCGGGACCGCGGGCCCTGCACCCTGGCCCGGATGGCGATGCGCAGCGCGCTAGCCCGCGTGGTGGACTCGACTTCGGAGCTGGTCAACGTGGAGCAGACGCTGCTGGGGCCCCTCCAGCAGGAGCGGTCCTTTCCCATCCACCTGAAGGTGAGTCCGGCCCCAGCCATCCCCTCTGACGTGCAGGGCAACCCCCGTTCCTCCAAGGGTGGGGCTGCTGGGATGGCGGTGGGTTGATCGCAGGATCCCAAACACTGCTGCCCACTGTGATTCAGCCCCGGTGGGAGAAGGAAGGGGGCGGGGGACACTCTGGGGACTCAGCAGAAGAGGCAGGGATCCCCAGACCCACCTGAGGCCCGCCTGACTGGCACAACCGAGATGTGGGGACTGCCTTGCCAAAATCTCCCCCTGGAGCTCCTTCCTTTCTCACAGAAATCAGCTTCCTGCGCTGGAAAGGCCCTTTCCACACGTGCAGCTTGTAGGGATAGAGGACAGCTCCCTCCACCCACTTTCCAAATTAATAACGCTTCCTCCAGAGCCTTAAATACACTTACTAAGTCCCTTCTGCCTTTTGTATGATGAAATCATCTACATTTATTTAAAGTTCCTTCACATTCATGAATCACTATTATTTTTTGCATAAATCCAATTCCCCACAGAGCTAAGGGGTCTTACAGAGTCAACCTAAATTATCATAAAGGGGGGTGAGAGCCAGGTGGGTCCCGGGTGTTAAAGCGTGAATACTAATGCTAAACTCTTGCTAAGTCACCCAGCTCATATAGGTAGGGCACATTTCCTCTTAAGGTACCAAACTGTGTTAGCCAATTTAGCTCGGGAACGGAGCAGCTGTCTCCCAGGCTGAGTGAGATTGCGGAAATCTGGGGGTCTGCGTTTCAGTTCTGGACTTGCCATTAACTAACGTAATTGGTTTAAGGTCACAGATCTCTCTGAGACATTTTGGCTTTCAGATTTTGACCAGGAGCATTGCTGTATTGATTCCCCTGGGGCATCTAGCAGAAGGGAGTCGGGGAGGGGTGACGAGGAGAGCTTAGAATATGTCTCAAGAGTTGCTATTCTGCACAAGCCAAGGTTTGGAAAAAGTTGCTATATATTAAGTTGCACTATACACTGTAAAAGATTTATTTAAAATCAAACATAATAAAGCCTATTATATACCCAAATAGGTATTGTTTCTCGACATCGGGGTTTCTCAATCTCTGTACTATTCACATTTTGACCTGGCTAATTCTTTGTTGTTGGGGGTTGTCCTGTGTATGATGTTTAGCATCATCTCTCACCTCTGCCTGTTAGATGCCAGCAGCATATTCCTCGCCGCAAGTTGATACAGCCAAAAATGTCTCCAGACACTGCCAAAGGTGGTGGGGGTGGTGGGGTGGGAGGCAAGATGAGAAGCACTCTTACACTCACTTTAGAAAGTTAGAAAATGAAGCTGCATTTCACCAAATGCTCTCCAATGTAAGATGTACTTTTTCTTTTTTTTGGTATCACCAAAATTTTTTTTAATCCTGTCATTAAACTATGATACACCATTGATTATAAGTTACATGCTGATTTAAGAGGTTTTTTTTTTTGTTTTTTTTTTTTGTTTTTTTTTTTTTTGAGACAAGGTCTACCTGTGTTGCCAAGGCTGCAGTGCGGTAGCCATTCACAGGTGCAATCATAACACTACAGCCTCAAGCCCTGGGCTCAAGTGATCTTCCCGCCTCAGCCTCCTGAGTAGCTGCAACTACAAATATGTGCCATCACATCTGGCTTATTTCAGGGATTTTTAAAAAATGTGAATAAAAGTGCATTTTAAAATGGATGAAATATGAACTTGTGATGTCAGTAACACATACAGGGCATAGATAAGGCTGGCAAAAAGAGAGACTGATAATCAGTTTTACCTAAGGTGACCCTGGAAGGCTTCTCAGAGGAGGCAGCCTTTAAAAAAAAAAGTACATATTATTTCCCAGACATTAAAGGGAAAAATATTTCAGGGGAATCCTTTGGTCAAGGCCCAGCAGCACTGAAAGGGCCTGAGGCTCTGGAGGAATGACAGTTAAGTTCAATATGGCAGAAGGCAAAAACTGATGCTGGAGACACAAATGGGGGCCAGTTAGGGAAAGGCCTGTGTGTCATGTTGAGGACCTTGGATTGTCTTGCAAGCAAAGGGTAGGGAGATCACAGAAGCCTGGATAAATCATAGAAGGGTAGGTTTCCATTTGAAAGTTAGGTCAGAAGACAATTTTCTAAGGGCTTGACCCAACTCCGTGGCAATGGACTAAACCCCATGTCCTCTGCTGTGGAAGCAGTCCACTATAAACTATGCCGTGTTAGCTTAATGCCACAGTCACTTCTACTTGGAAATCCTTTTAGTCCTTTCTAACTGACTTTTGATTCTAAACATTTTCCATCCTCCTCAAGCCTTCTTCATCCAAACCTCAACCCTCTCACACCTTTTCTGAGAAAATAGAGGCTGGTGGACACAAATATCTTTCTATCTAAAAAATTGCATTTCTACTCATCTTCATTTTTGTCTCTAAAATTTAAATGCTGCCCCCCATCCCCACGTATATTCATGTTAATTCCACCGGAGCAAATCTTTCACTTGCTCCTGGACCTGTTTCTATCAATTTTCTCTCTCCTTACATTTTCTACTGCCCCCTCTCTGCTGACCCTCTTGGTCCATAACACTCTTTACCTACCCACCCCTTGAATCCCCATCCTTCCCTTCCTTGTCATGAGCAAACTGAAAACATTTAGATGTATTGCTGCCACTTTCTAGAAATACACAGCTACTGGAGTCTGCTGTTCACCCGCAGGGGGATAATGAGTTTTAGGGCCCCTGGAAATAGCCAGGGCTTTCAAGAGACAAGCAGAGAGCAGTTTCTCTGTATGATTTGTTCCCTTGGCAGCACCTAGGAAATTTTTTTTTTTTTTTTTTTTTGAGACGGAGTCTCGCTCTGTCACCCAGGCTGGAGTGCAGCGGCCGGATCTCAGCTCACAGCAAGCTCCGCCCCGGGTTTACGCCATTCTCCTGCCTCAGCCTCCCAAGTAGCTGGGATTACAGGCGCCTGCCACTTGCCCAGCTAGTTTTTTTTTTTTTTTTTTTTTTTTTGTATTTTTTAGTAGAGACGGGGTTTCACTGGGTTAGCCAGGATGATCTCGATCTCCTGATCTCGTGATCCGCCCGTCTCGGCCTCCCAAAGTGCTGGGATTACAGGCTTGAGCCACCGCGCCGGGCCAGCACCTAGGAATTTTGTTTGATTTGCTGTTTGCAGAACAGGTAATATCTCCATTTGGTTTGTAGATTAATGATTACACAGCACTTAGACTTGAGGAGATGGCATTCTGTCTTTCCAGGGGGGCTGGTTATGCAGACTTAGCTTCCTTAGTACTAGTGTTAATTCAAATGACTTGGAAGGATGTTTTGTATATTTTTAAATCAGGAACATACAGATTTTATACAATAGAATGATTTCAGAAATCCTTGCAGGAGGATTTCTGTGAATGGAAATAACTACTGTGTATCATTTAGAAGTACGTGGGAACCTCTCCAGCATCAGATCTCTTTGGTGGTGTTACTTACCACAGAAGGTAGGAGGGAGATTCACTTGAACTAAAGCCCATGACGCAGTTGACAGGCATTAGAGATCCTGCAGTGGAGACAGCATAGCACAGCAGTCATGTCCCACGGAGCATTTCAAACCTACTCTGCCACTTCCTACATTGGCCCTTGGGTAAGTTATTTAGCCTTTCTGTCCCTCAGTTTCCTCCCTGTATAGTGAGGATAATGGTATCTAACCTAAAGGGTTACTGAGATCATACATTTAGTCAGTGGCTTCCCAAAGTTAGTCTCCATCTATCTGAGTTATTATGATTATCATTATTATTACTGTTAGCAGATTGATGCCTCATGAATTCTTATTGACTGTTACTTTTGTAAATTCTATTCTTGATATTAATGAATATGATCCATTAACTCTGTGTCTATTTTTCTGGAACTATTGACAAAAGCAGACTTAGGATGATCCAAAGAGATTTCCAGGAAGCCTACACTATCTAGAGGTCAGCTTTAGCCTCACGCCTAGTGATAGGCTTACAGGTGTCACCAGTGAGTGACTCACTGATCAATCCACCAGAAGGTTAAGACAGTGAAATTTGCAGGCATGAAGGCAGAAAAATTCTCACCACAATAACAGACATTTTAAAATAGAATTTTACTCTTTAATTAAAGAAACCAACACAATATTCCTTTGAACACTTAGAAATCATCATACACATGCAAACACCCATGCAGTGGGTTTCTTCATGGTGGATGAAAAATGCTTAACAGTACCGAATCTTATTAAATTTGGTGCCGAGGCTAGATTTAACCAGCTTAACAAACATTTATAACAGGAGGAAACTGAGGCTTGGAGGAATTGAGGACTTTGCTCAAGACCCTGCAGCTAAGAAGCGATGGGTTTTATCTAACTTATTCTCCTACATCACAGTGTTGCCCTTAGGGGCATTATGAACATCATGCTCAAATTGTGTACATGAGAGATCTTAGGGGCGATAGTCGTACATGCTGTGCACTGTGTACACTGCTTGGACTACAACAGTCACATCGTAGCCAGCGGAGCTGCCATAGCAAAATACCACAGACGGGGTGACTTAAATAACAGACATTTATATTCTCCCTGTTCTGGAGGTTGGAAGTCCAAAATCACGGTGCCAACAAATTCCATTTCTAGTAAGAGCTTCCTTCCTGGCTTGCAGACAGCTGCCTTCTTGCTGCGTCCTCACATGGCCCATCCACAGTGTGTGCAGGCAGAGAGAGAAAGCTTTGCATGTCTTGGTGTCTCTTAGAAGAACACCAGTCTTATCAGAGTTGAGCTGCTTTATAACTTCATTTTACCTTAATTGCCTCGCTAAGAGCCTATCTCCAAATACAGTCACATTGGGGGTTGAGCATGTGAATAAGGGGACCACACCGTTTAGTCCATAACACTGAATGATCTCTGCACCTCCTTCCATCGTGGCTGCCTGATAGAGTGACAGAAAGCACTAGCTGAAATCAGGAAATCACTATCAAACTAGTAATACTAGCAGGAATGCCTTCAACATTTGCCACCCGAAGGGAGCATAGAAGCGTGCAGGAC